TATATATATATATTAATTTTAAGGAGAGGATACACAGAGAGGGAGAGATTTTTTGGGAACAGTTTTTTGGTTCGAAACTGAAAGCCTAGCATTGAAAAGAAGTAAAGAAAGAATACTAGGTAGCCTATCAGGTTGTTTGCTTTTTACACCTTTCAAATCCATTGGAGTTATCAAACCTGGATTCCTAAAGGGACTTGTCAGAGACAAGACTATATATGTGGCTCATTACTTACAGCAAACCCATACGTACTAGCACCATTTCTCGTGAACAATATGATTCATTTTGCTATATCCTTTTTGTCCCGAAAAAGATAAGAAAAGAATATATATCAATTTCCAATCATCTGTTTGAGGAGAATTTTTACGTTGGTACATTGAGATATGATAAATTATATAATATCTAATTTTGTATAAAAAATCTATCACAGTTTATATATTTCGTATCTTTTATATAAAGACGTAATACATTCTTTAATTTTTCATATCTTTCACCTTTTTCTCTTTCCGATGTCTACTTATAGATATGGAAGCATCCGACTTTACAATGTTTTTCTTATAATGAAAAAGTTTTTTTTTTGTGGTATTTTTGTTACTCTTTCATCTTTTTTCATCATCATTTGGTCAAGTGCCTAATAGTTTGCCATTATTAAAATCAAACAACTACATGTTTGATAATGATTTGATGAAACAATCAATTTGTTTTTCCTTTCATTGATCAATCGGGACAAAATTAGTTGAACATTATTATGAAAGACAATGACCCATTTTCACCCGTCGAATTACTAAATGATGTCAAATCATCATGTTTATTCGTTGCCATGGGAAACAAAGTCCTTCGTCCTAGTTGAACGAACTGACAAATTATTTGCCTTACTGATTAAAGACTAATGGTAAACCTGTAAATTAACTATGGGAAGATTCAGACAAACCCTTTGAATTAATTATTGAAGAGCAATGGAACTATTTCGTCCTTTTTGTAAGCTGTGACTTCGGGGCTATGATTGAGCAAAGAGCCCAAAAGTATTAAGTCCATTAATTTTCTTGGACTTTCCCGAAAAAGGGCGACCATTGGCCCAGAGAATTGAACTGTGTTTTCTCCATTTCTCTGCTCCGAGTGATGATGAATGTAGTTAGGGTGAAAAATCTCACTAACCAAAGAATAAAGCTCTGAGGTTGTGAAGTTGTAAATATTTAATGGAGCTATGGTTTAGGGGACCACGGATGCACTAGCCATGGTTCCATCAAAATTTAGTAGGTAAAGGCAGGGTTTGATTAACCCCAACAATTTATGTTTAATGTAAGGGTCACTTTTTTTTCAATTGTTTTTGGCTCCACCTATATAATTTCACAGTCACCTAATGCCTAGGATTGGGTATCCCACTAAAGAAAAAAAGGGTTTTCGGTAAAATCATCTTTATCTCGATTCTCAGTATTCGAATAGAAAGTTGTTATTGAATCAAAATCGGGTCATTTTTTTTCATGATATAATATTTTTTTTAGTAAAGTTAATACTATTTAATTTGAAATTTTGACCTAAAAAAAATGGATGTGATTAGTTAGCTTTAAGTTATATATCCAAGCTGCTATATGTTGCTACCAAAAAATAAATAAAAAGAACAAGAAAAATATTGGGCCGACTATGGTCCACAAATGTTAGGTGTCCTTTGAAAGTAATATTGGGCTCATCCATGCCTTTGTTCAATCCAATTCCCTAAAGATTCCTATCAACATCTTCAGGTTGCCTGCTATGGCCCTGGACAACAACGAAAATCCAAGGTTGCTTGGGCTGTGTTCCGAATTATAAATCATAGCCATGGTCCATGGAATAGGGATGATGCACCCTCTCTCCTCCGTTTAATCAGTTCAAAACAAAGCCTTTGGGGGCAAACTTTTTCAACTTTATGGTCATTTGTAGTGACCCAAACCAACCAAATAAATTAAAATAAAACAGTGCACTAAGATTATGAAGGCTTTTATTGACTTCGGATGTCCAGAATCCCTAACCAAATCAAGCTATATTGTCGTATGTCAATCATAGGTATTTGGGGGACCAGGGATCCACTACCACTTTCAAGCCGCTAGCAGAGGTCCCCATCAGGACAATAACAGATAACAATGGCTTCCATACTCTCCTCCTCAGATCAGTAATCAGTTTCCCTTCTCTTTCATACTCTTTTTAACTTTTAACTTCGTTCATAAGTTTAATGTCATAAAACTGGGTGTGTGCATGCATTTGTTAATATACAACATGAAATAGTTTTTGAGCGTGACTCTTGGATTGAAGTCCAGCTCTTCATACTGCATGTGGACAGAGCTGGTTGCATCGACTTGGATTCCAAAGTGACAAATTAAAGACAATGATGAAATATAGGTTTAGGAAAGGAACAAAAAGAGATTAACCCCTTTATTGTCCCAATCAAGTTAATCTATCTAACTGTACCAAAGAAAAGGAAATATCATACTAACATATTAAAAGCAGGATGGTGCTCCTTTATTCCTGTTCAGAAGTGGTGAGGCTAGAGAAAAAAGAGACCTTCAATGGTTTTGCAGGCACTGGTTGCGAGCCTTGCAAAGATTTAAGGCCTTCTTTGAGAAGCCATGGCCCAAAATCAAAGATTTATATATGTATATATGCCTTTTTGTCAGGTCAGTCCAAGTCTCTGATTCATATTTTTGGCTTAGAGAAGCATACAGAGATGAACAGGCATGGAGCAGAGCCTGGTATTCATGCTGGTTTTATAAATCTATGCAAGATAAACAACAGCAAGGCTACAAATGAAGAGAATTTGAGATAACGTAAGCGTATCGAGGTCAGATTTAACATAATTATGAAGCCATGATTTGTATATTTTAAGAGTTTAGAAGTTGCATTAAAATAAGCCGAAAACATGACCCGTTGACAGGTTGGGAGGGAATGACACCCCC